ATTGACTGCCCAGTGCTGTGCTCTGGAATCTTTTTACCTAGGTGCATTTCTCTAGAGATCATTTTTATGCAGTGAGAATGATACAAGAGCATAGGCTCTGAAGAGGGAGAAGGGTGTACTTAAAATGAGGCCTGTTCAACCACACTAGCTGGATCTGATCTCGGCACCACCACTTACTAACCACGTGGCTATGGTCTTATGTTTCCTCTCAAGAGCTCCATTAAGCAAACTGTTAAATGGGAGAATAACTACTGTGAAAATCAAACAGGTTACAGTGTAAGAGAACTGAACTGGATCTGGCACACAGACAGCTGATGATGTTCCAGTACTGATGGCATCTGCTAATGGGCACTGCATTTCTCTCTGGGGTGACTGACGAACCTAACCTGAAACTAGTATGCTATTAATTTCCAGGAATGCTCAATCATATTTTAAAAGGGCTGGCTTTACGGTATGTTAAAAACAGTCTGAGCTTGCCCTGCTCCTGCTCAGCATCAACAGGCTGTCCTGAGGACCAATGAGAGCCCCACTGCTCACTAGTTCTGTCAACTACCAAGCCTTCCATCAGCCTCAGAACTAGAAAAACAAATCCTTTCAATATACTTCATGAAAACCAACCAAATTATTCTGTCCACAAGAAAAGCAGGTCAGGGTCACATGGTTAAAGGGGTCAGCGAAGCACTCCACACCATGTGTGGTGAAGAAACACCCTGTGGTCCAGCAGAGTTGGGAAAGCAGCAGGTTAAACAGTTAAATGTCTTCTGAACTCCACAAAGATCTCATCTTCAGTGTGCTTGCTGCAAGCCCAAATGTATTTGACTAAGGACTCTCTTGTTCCTGAGAACATACCTTAGAATCAGTAGAAACTTTATAGCCAACTAGACAGTAGCCCCAGAGAATCTATCAAGATATCTCAGAAGAGAAGCCCCATCTGAAAAGTTACAAACTAGCCAACACTCTTCCTTGTCCCCAGTTAAAGCTAAAATGCCCATTCCTGATAATGAACTTGACGTCTAAACTATATGCCATCCTAGAACCTTCATTCAGTGACTGATGGAAGCAGAGGCAAACACCCACAGTTAAACACTTAAGTAAACCCATGGAACCCAGTGACAGAGAGCGATGAGCAAATTGGCAAAGAATGGGCTGGCAAAACCAGCAGAGACAGCTGATCTGAACAAGGGGGAGCTCTTGGACCCCAGACCGACAGCTGGGAGGCCAGCATGGAATTAATCCAGACCCCCTGAGTGAGAGAGTCAGTGAGGAGGCCTGGGCAACCTATGGGGCCCTGGACAGTAGATCCCTGGCATACAAACAGACTTCATGTGTCTATAACACAAAGAGGGATGCTCTCTCATCCTGGACTCTTAGGGGAATGCCTGGACCCTGCGACTCTGGATATCCCCTATGTGGAAGGAAGTGGGGATAGGGTGGGAGGCTGGGGGCAGGGGGATGCGGGAGGAGGGGAGGGAGAGGCAACTGGGATTGACATGTGAAGCAAGCTATTTAAAATTAAAGTAATAAAACAAAAACTGAAATGTTCTAGAGGTGATGTGACCACATAATGAAACCTCAAAGAGGTAGCAACTGGACACAACTACAACCTCAAGACTGAAAGCCTGTGCTGGCAGAATTGCGCCCCCCCCCACACACATACACACTAGATCTCTAGCACATAGCTTAACATCTGCCAAACACTTGCCCTTCATATTCTGATGAAATGGTTGTATGCAAAAGTATAGAAGAGGGGGAATCTACCTGGAGATGTACTAATTTATACATGATGGATTGACATTTAGAGCTCCACATCAGCAACTGACTCAAAGTCAGTTGTGGTATCACATATTAAAAATCCCAGCACTCAGGAAGCTAAGGCAGTGGGATCATGAGTTTAGGTACAGCCTTGGCTACAGAGCAATGCCTCCCTCTCAAACAAAGGAACAAACTAACAAACAAAAAGTTGACTTATTCTGAACAAATAGGAAGGTTTAAAGCATGAAATAGTTTCCATTGTGTGTTAATGGGAGAACGTGAAGGGTGGGCAGGAATGAAGGCAGGATATCTGGGTCCCGCTCACGGAAGCAAGGCTGGCTGGCTGAGCTCTGGCACTAACGAGCATCTCTTTGTATTCTTGTTCCCAGGCTGGCATCATTACAGAGGCAAAGTTGAAGGACCTGACACCCCCCATGCCTGTGATGTTCCTCAAGGCCATTCCAGCAGAGAAGCAAGATTGCCGAAGTGCCTATGCATGTCCTGTGTACAAGACTTGTCAGCGGGGACCCACCTACGTGTGGACTTTCAACCTGAAGACTAAAGAAAACCCATCCAAGTGGGTTCTAGCTGGTGTTGCCTTGCTTCTCCAGATTTAGCATCCTGAAGAGCCCTTGGGAGTGGAGGAGGGTGGCTGGCGGCTCCCTGACAGGGAAGTGGGTGAGGGGTAATGGCAGATTTTAAGAAGAAATCATAGGCACTAACCTTCTGTAGAATTCTCTGGGGAACTTAGGGTATCTGAAGTAAGGCCGAGAAGAAGAGTCCATCCAGGAGTAACGAGAGAACTCTGTGGTAGTGAAATTTTTCTAATAAACTGACTTATTCTTCAACTCATCTAAGGATTATTGAGTCTTAAATAATGGTGAAGAGATCAAGATAATCAATCTGGGAATGAACTCTGACCCTGATACATAGTGCAGTCTTGGATCTTGGAGCTCTAGTTAGCTCCCAGATGCCTCAACCACATAGGCTATGCCCATTAGTCAGGATTTCCATCATCATTGTTAGAGAAACACTAATATTTCTCTGTAAACAGACTCAGAGAATAAGTACTCAAAGCTTTTCAGGCCAGTCTTGGCTAGAAGCCCTCTATGTGGCCACCGTAGCCCAAAGCAGCCTGGACAGCAGGTAAACATGTGGGTGTGGCCGCAGTCCAGCAGAATCACAAATACCTCTGTTGTAGCTACATGACACCTGTCAGTGACCTGTGATTGAGTTATACATCTACGAATGTTTTTACTTACTGCTTGGTGAGGATACAACTATGAATGTATAAGTGGATCCTGTCAGAGTGGCTCTGAACACTACTTATGAGAGACCCAAGAAGCCACTTATCCGATAAAGCTACTCACCTGAAACTTTCCAGATTTCCCATTGTGGAAATGTCAGCTGGAAACCAAAGGGTTTTGCAGTTTGATGGGTTCCATGTAGCTCTGTGAGAGTTTGGTAAGGAGGGTCAGGGTGAGCGGGGATAACTCTTCCTTCAGATCCTTGCAGCAGTTTACTTCTATTTAGACAGTGGTTCATGAACTACAGCAGGCACCAGATGCCCCTGGAGGACTTGTTAAAGGAAGGCTGGAGTCCCAACCTGCAGAATCCTGACCAGATTTGGTAAGGTTTAAGAAGGAAGTGGGAAAGGGGAGCTCTCTAGGGACAGGGGAAGGAGATAAATCCAGAAGCTGGAGGGAAGTGGATAAAACAAGTAGAATGCCTGAAAAAGCCACGAAGAATCACCATTATCAAAAAAATCCTATAATACACATAATTCTGTGTATAAATATGCACATACAGTTTTGGTGAACTTTTCTCATCTGAACTAACAGTGCTCCCTCCAAGAGCAAAAAACTACCTAACGAAAACCCCAACACCAGACATGAGAAGCTGTCTTTTGAGTTGTTGGCCAGGGCTATCCAGAAGACTCCCAAAACATATAGCCTATTGCTGGTGCTATTGGTTACCACCCCCCCCAAGAGGTAGAAGATTAAGTTCTTATTGAAGACACCAAGCGCTTCAGAAATAGGGACCAAATACGTCTGAGCTGTAACTGACCTGAACACCCCCTCCCTGAGGACTTTCATGGTACCAGAAGGCACAAGGCAAGCTTCCAAAGGAGACAGGTGACCAACAGTCCTACCCAGCTATGACACCTGTGAACCCCATCAACAACTAACGAGGCATAGTAACCCTAAGGGTGCAGTAGTGGCACGCATACCTGGTAGTAACCAACAGCCTTCTAACTGGACTTAGCATCTGCTCGACTAGAGAGAGTCCAGATAACTACTAACTAACTAGCTAACTACTCAGTGATAGTGAAGTCATGGCTACTGAAGGAGAATCTACAATCAGTAATTTACTAAACCAGAATAATCCCTAACAACAATCTATACAGTTGTCCTTATACCCACAGATAAGTGTAGTCTTGACTCCTCATCAAGGAAACGTCTTTGCAACAGACAGAGACCAATACAGAAAACCACAACCAATCAAAATACTGAGTTGTGGAGCCCAGTCCCAACGGATATATCTATAAAACACTCCCACACCTAAGGCTCAGGAAACATTGGGTAGAGACAGTGAAAATTTTTAAGGTCTCCTAGGAATGTCAGAAGCTACACCTACAAAGTCTCACCAACATGACTGCAAGAACAAAAGGGCAGGTTAGACATATATTTGTTAATAAAGTCCTAGGCAGCCGGGCAGTGGTGGCGCACACCTTTAATCCCAGCACTCGGGAGGCAGAGGCAGGCGGATCTCTGTGAGTTCGAGGCTGGGCTGGACTGATAGCCTCCAAAACAATACAGAGAAACCCTGTCTCGTAAAAACCAAAAAAATAAAAAATAAAAAAATAAAGTCCTAGGCAGTATTAAAAACTAGATCGATACTATTTCTTCCAAACAGCCTACAGGCAAAATAAGGTAAGAAAGAACATTTGAAAACATAAAATACTCTAGCAAAAATAATAGTCCAAGAAGGATGCAAGGATAAAGAGGGGACACGAGCCATTTGATCAAGTAGAAGAAAGACTCAAAAACGACTCATCACAAACAGACTTACCTGAGATAAAGGTGTTCCCAGCATGAACCATTCTCTCACTTTCTAGTTACTTTCTGCTACATATAAATTTGATAAGTCTCTATGGACTGGTCCTGGAGCTCTCAATTTCCAAGTGTGCTCTTCTATGAAAATGGTATGCTCAGAACTGATAGTTAACACACAGTGAACACAACAGATACAAGGAAGACAGAGACTAACTCAGCTCAGTTTATTTCAAATAAGGGACAGTTAAATGAGAACTTTGCCACCTGTCTGACAAAGACATCATGTACTCAGGCCTCCCTACCTCCCCTTCTGCAACAGACAGCCTGCTCTAGACCCACAGTTCTAAAGTTGATCTGAGGTTCTCACTGCTAGCAGCAATCAAGGCCTTATCAGTTAGGTTCTTGTCAGAGAAAGCTACTAAAGCCATTATCTACACGGCATGTCTTTCCCAAGGGGTTCAAAGTAAGAGACCAGCTGAAAAAGGGAGACTGGTTTCTTTTCCTGGTGCAAAAGGAAAAGCTAAACCAAGAAATCCAATCAGAATAATATCCCTCCATGTCAAAACAGTGCCCAGCTCCTCTCCCTCCAAGAGAGGAGGAGAGGTCCTCTCTGGTGGCAGGCCCTCCAGGCAGAGCTGAGCAGGGCTGCAATGACTGGCAGGCTGGTGGGGAGAGGCTATGGGCAGGGCTTCTTCCCCAGGTGTGATCTCTGATGCTTATCCAGGCTGGAGCTCCAGCTGAAGCGCTTGCCACAGTGGGTACACTTGTAAGGTTTCTCACCTGTGTGAACCCTTTGATGTCTATTAAAGTTTGACCTCTGAATAAACCTTTTCTCACAGATGGGGCATTTATAGGGTTTCTCTCCTGTGTGGATTTTCTCGTGGTAGCGCAAGCCTGATAAGTCACTAAAGCCTTTGCCACAGTAATCACATTTACAGGGCTTCTCTCCTGTGTGAGTTCTCTGATGTTTCACAAAGTCTGAGCTTCGCAGAAAGGCTTTTTTGCAAATGGGGCAATGAAAGTATGTCTCTCCCGTATGAGTCCTTTGGTGGAAAACAAGCTGTGAATTTCTATAGAAGGTTTTCCCACAGTCTCTGCAGGTGGGCAGTTTCTGGGCCATGGGAGCTCTGCTCTGTCCCTTCTGAGAGGCCTCTCTCTTCTCCTCCAGCCACAAGGCAGACAGCTCTCCTGAAGAAGAGCTCTGTATGTGCTGACCTAGTTGTTTCCCAGGGACCCTTTCAGGAGGAAAGAGCTGCCCCCCTGGTGGTCCCTCACTCTGAAGGCTTTCCAGAGCTTCAGGGACATTCTCTCCTCCAAAGCGATGCAGCTCACTCTCACCAAGGAAATCCAACGCAGTCTGTGGTGGTGCCTCACCTGATGCCTGGCAGAAAACATCCAGAGAACCCTGGTCCCTGTGATTTTCCAAGTTTAGGTTCTCTTTGTCATTTTCTTGTCTGTCTTCTAAAACGAAAAAGAAGGTTTAATTGGCAGTAACTGTTACTCCCTCTTCTCCAACTGATGAAAAGACGGCACCAGGCCATCTTCTTTCTTTTTCACTGAGAGGGTATCAATAATGTGGAAGAAAACTATCACCTGGCTGCCTAAGCACTACAGACTCCCTTTCCTGTTCTGGGTTCAAGGCTAGACTAGCTCTGGAGCTGAACCACTCTCAACACCACAGTCTGCTGCTGGGCTTTTCAGACCCCTCTACAAGCACTTATAGGAAAACAAATATGCTATATGCAAGCTGTGCTTGTTAAAAGACGGTTGGTTTTCATTTTAAGATTTATTTTTATATCTTTAATTATGTGCATTGAGTATGTTTGTGTATATACGCATATGAGTGTAGGTTTCCACATAGGAGATGTTGTCACAGACATCTGTGAGCCACCTGACATGTATGCTGTGAACCAAACTCAGGTCCTCTGCAAGAGCAACAAACATGCTCTGAACTGCTAAGCCATCCCTCTAGCTCCAAGATGTTTATTTAACTAGAAAGGAAAAATAAGCATACACAAGAAAACCAAATCATCCCAACAGCACTACCAAACACGACTACATCTGTCTTCTTCCAGTCTTTGCTTTGAGACCCTGGTCTCATCTTGTGGCCCTGCTAGCCTGAACTTTTGTAGATCAGATTGGCTTCAAATTCAGAGCTCTGCCTGCCTCTGCCCTGAGTGCTGGCTGGGATTAAAAGCATGAGCCAACACCACCACCACGGCTGGACTTCCAGTCTTTCTAATTTAATTTGCATGTATTGACATCAGTTCTCTATCTGGCTATATAGCATTAATAGAATAAACATTGACACTGGTTTATTTAATATTAAAAATGGGCTCTTATGAGAAACATAAAATTTAATTAATGAACTTTATTAATGTGCCATTTTATTGTAGGTTAATGCGATAAGGCTATATTGTACCACACCGGTTAAATATAGAGGTTGTGTGTGCCTTGCTTTTATGTATGTTTTCATATATATTTTTGGTTTTGCTGTGTTTTCCAGGCTAGCCTCAAATTCTTAGGCTCAAGTGATACTCCTGCTCAGACTCTTGGGTAGCTAGGAATTTGAGTACTGGACACCATACCCAGCTATACATACTTTATTAACTTTTTTTTTAATTTTATTTTCCAGTTTAAATTTAGATAAGAAACAAGGTTGCTTCACAAGTCAGTTCCAGGTCCCTCTCCCATTCCCTCCCTTCCTCCCGAGCCTTCCCTCCCCCCCCCCCGTTATCCCCTCATTTCCCCAGGGAGGGTGAGGCCCTCCATGGGGGTGTGCATAGTCTGTCATTTCATATAGGGCAGGGCCTAGACCCTTCCCCAAGAGTTCGGGGTGAGAGTGCACCTCACATTGTTTTATTAACTTTTATAAGCACTTATACTTTTTTCTCACAATGTAGGTTTCTGATTATTACTCATGATGCAAATGATATTTTATTTTGGTTGAATATTTACTTAAAATTTTTAAATTACTTTATCCCTATAAATCTAAGATTCTATTCAGTGTCAAGCATACACTAAAATCCCAGAGTGGGAAGGTGAGCCAGAAAGATCAGAAGTTCAAGGACAGCCTACACCACACAGCAAGACCCATCTAAGGTAAAAGAGGCTATTTAAGCTGTGTCTGTCCACACATATCTATAATGCCCCTTCCCAGGAGGTGGATGAAAGAGGGACAGAAGTCCAACAGCATCCTAGCTACATAGCGGGTTCAAGGCCAGCAGGTCTACATAAGACTCTGCCTCAAAAAAGTTAAATAAAATGAAATAAACATAAAATATGAGGCTGTTTTCTTCTCTTTTTTCATTTTCACCTTAACAATGGCCTGCCAGATGTAGGAACCTGTCAGAGAACTAGAACTGAATGTATTAATTCTTGGAGTGCCAGGACATAACCCACTCAAAGGGTACAAGTACCATCTCTCTCATCTTTAAATAAGACTCTACAAACAGAACTTTAAAGAGTCAAGTAACAGCCACCATCAAAGAGTTATAATAAACACATTGTGTACTTAAGAATTCCCGCCCAGTGGTGATGGCACACACCTTTAATCCCAGCACTTGGGAGGCAGAGGCAGGTGGATCTCTGAGTTTGAGGTCAGCTTGGTCTAAAGGGAGAGTTCCAAGACAGCCAAGAACAGCTAAGGCTACACAGAGAAACTGTGTCCCAAGATGGATGGATGGATGGATTCTCCACTGTGGAAACCTGTACTGTTAATCATGTGTTTACTACAATAAGTATCACTGTAATAAGCAATTCTCTTGAGTTTTGGCCCATTTTCTGATCAATACCTGAATTCCTCGGAGCACAACTGTTATACCTATGGCATGAACATTGCCGGGTTCTTTTCTAAAACACTGTTCTTAGGTTTATTTATTTATTTATTTATTTGTTTGTTTATTTATTTATTTATTTTGGTTTTTGCGAGACAGGGTTTCTCTGTATTGTTTTGGAGGCTGTCGGTCCAGCCTGGCCTCGAACTCAGAGATCAGCCTGTCTCTGCCTCCCGAGTGCTGGGATTAAAGGCGTGCGCCACCACCGCCCGGCAGGTTTATTTATTTTAGTGTGTGTCTGAGTGTATATATGTGTATAACATACACACAGATACACACAGGAGCCTATGTAGGTCAGAAGAGGGTATAGGGTCCCCCGGGACTGGAGTTACAAATGGTTGTGAGCTGTATCTAGACACTGGGAAGAAAACCCAGGGCCTCTATATGAGCAGTAAGAGTCCTAAACAACTGAGCTGTCTCTCCAGCCCCAAGGTCCTTAACATCTACGGCAATTTAATTTCCAGAAGGACTGTCCCAACTCTGGTATGTCATTAAGCATAGGGAAATGGGCAGGGGGCTAATAAATATTGAGTATTGAATGATTTTTCTACATATGCTTTTTAGACCACTGAAAAATGGATTTTTGTTATTGTAAATCTTAATTCCTCAGTGATGAAAGGATGAATATTTTTTTTCTCACCACATCTGGGAGCTATTTTTCATATTCCAGGACTGCTGTCCAAATCTTACTGAGAAAATAGTTTGTTCTCGTCAACTTGCTTCCTAACTACTTTCTCTATATTAAGAAAAATAATACAGACCATCATTTATCTATCAAGTTCACCGAAATGTTTTGCACCAATTTAGTTGCAGTAATTTTGTTTGGAGTAATTTTTATGTATAGAATTGTTTTTACCTTATAAGTATGGGTATCTGTTAATCTTTTCCTCAACAATTTCTTTTATTGTATCTATCCTTAGAAAAATGTTTTCAATCCAAACAGGATGCAAATATTTACTTTCTTCTTTATGTCTACTTGCACATTACTTTCTTAAAGTTGATTTCTAACTTACTTTGTTAAGCAGCACAGACAAAACTGAGCAGTCTTTCCCATCGCTTCCTTACAGCACCGCAGAGAAGCACCTCCTGCCCCGAGAGCCATGCTTCCCGCTCTTCCTGGCCTGAGCATCTCCCAGCTTTTCTCACCACTTCTCCTTGCCATCAAGATATCTACTTAGGAACCATGTAACTGTTTGATTTTTGTTGGTGGTGGGTTTTAAATGCGTTGGGACTCTGATTACAAACAGATCTGCTTTTACTCTGACTGTCCTTCTACAGGGTCAGAGAAAACAGCACTTCTCTCTTGTGACTTCTGCAGCTGGTCTGTTACATTTCCCAACTGGCCCTTTCTCGTCTCTTTAGTTTCTGCCCCAGTTCAGAGTCTCTTCCCTGTGCAGCTGGACCTCTGCTTTGGCTCTTTACAGGATTAGAGGCATGTGCTACCACCTCCCAGATGCTTTACTCATTTTTATTGGGAATATAAAAGTGCACCAAAAAACAGTATCATGTAATAATAATAATAATGGGCTCAGCATATAAGACCACATACAGAGGACCTGGGTTCCTTTGGAGCAATGGATTTTAAACTATTTCATGTCCGAAGAGAAGAATGGTGAGAAAAGCTGGAAGATACTTCATGAATGTCACCCAGGAAGAGCTGGACTGTCTGGTTCACTTAGTGGAATTAATACTGTAATTTTAAAAAGGTTTAAATGTGTACATTGGTGTTTAACGAGGCCAGAAAAGGCCATCAGATTCCCTGGAGTAGAGTTACAGACAGTTGCTGGGTTGCCATGTGGGTGCTAAGAACAGAACCCAGCAATATATGTTGTTTCAAATTAAAATCATAACTGGGTATGATGTGTGCTTTGCATATATAAGAGCTGGCTTGACTCCCAGCACCAAAAAAAAAAGTGATAATAAAGTCATATGTATCAGTTCTTGTTCTCTGTAATATTATCAATAGAAAAAAAACCCTGATAATAAAGTCATATGTATCAGTTCTTGTTCTCTGTAATATTATCAAAAGAGAACAATTAGACTCCTTTGGGGAAAGGATAATTTGTCATGTAATTTCCATCCTAAGTCTCTTTCCTTCTTCAAGGTTCTAGAACTCAATGGGCATGTGTGTACACACGAGTGTACGTGATGTTTTCTATGACAGACATGTTTTAGAAAGAGCATCCACGGCAAAGGAGAGCACAGCATAATAAATTCAGATTTATTCTCAGACTTCAACTATGTTAAGCATCAGTTGCTGCTGCTATTTAATGAAGGTTAGGTACACAAAGAATAAATAAAACACTTTTCTGTTTATTTTGCTGATGGTAGTTGGTTACTTATGATTATGAGCACGGTAAGAAAAAATGAGTTTTGGGCCAGCAATATGGTTCTGTGGGTAACAGTGCTTGCCACACAAGTCAGATGACCTGAGTTTGATCCCCAGAACCCATAAAAAGATAGAAGATTATGTTACATAAAGCTGTCCTCTGACCTCTACACACATGCAGGGGCAAAGCATGTCCCTACACACAAATAAGGAACATAGGTTAATAGTAAAATAAAAATAATATTTAAAAAAATCCAAAAGTAATTTCTCTGAATTTTTCTGGTTGGTGATGGTAATCACAGCTATTACAAACTATCTTTTGAAGGAACCCTAACTACCTGTATCGACCTCAACTTGTCTGAATGGGAATTCTCTCTGAGAAGGAAAACTATCAAACTAGACAAGACTGAAAGTAGATTCAACATGTGGTCTTCCTTTCTTGGCTAAATAAATATGTCAATGGCCCTTTAGTGAGCAACAAGGAAACATAACTTTGGCATTCAAGCAAGATCACAGTTAGCTATAACTAATGGGAAAAATTCTTTACCCACTGCTTCCAATTTACTATGAGGAGATCAGAAATGGCTGGAAACCAATGAAACCCACTGACCTTTGCAGGTGAGTCTTGGTATCTTCTCACTGATGTGAAGTTGTAGTCCTGCCAGTTCTTCCCCATATTCTGCTATGTTAGTCAGGTCAGGTTTGGAGTTAGAAATACCTGCTACCAAGAGAGATAAACTTTATGAGCTTGATGAACAGTGACCTCTGGGAACTCAAACTGTGCCTTTTAAAAGAGAAGCCTAGACATGGAGACAGTGATGCTACCAGAGAACAAGATGATAGGAACATGTCGTTGGTGAATGCCATGAAAACAATCTAGACAGGTGATCACAAGGATCTGGGGACCACCAGCAGGCTGGTGCAAGGATCAGGACAGGGACTCCCCCAACTACTAGTTTAGACAACTTAGTAGGAAGAGAGCACAGATTCAAAACCAGTCACAATTGAATGCACTATAACCCAGGCCCTGGGAACTGTGAAAGAATGAGCAAGTCCTTGGTCTGATGCTACTTCCAGCATCTTTAAAAGAGGAATGTCATGGCTGGGTGTGGTGCTTGCTTTTAGTCCCAGCACTCAGATGGCAAAGACAGGCAGGCGTCTGTGAATTCAAGGGTTACAAATTGAGACTGTCTCAAAAAGGGAAAAATAAGGGGTTGGGGGGTGGGTAATGCCATCACCATGCCTATTTATTTCATAAATTTAAGGCATTGCTGAATGTCACAACTCACACAGTTACTGACAAACAGAGCAATTTCAGTCTCAGGACATTCCTACTTATAAGCTCGCTATCTCTAACTCCCCAAGTTCCTACAGTAGCACCAAGGATTCCCTTCACCCACAAACCCAGAGCAGGTCTCTAGGAATACACAGAAAATACCTAATACTTTTCCAGTCTTTTCATCTCCTCCTATCAAGCGGGCCCATGCCCTCACCTCCTGAGACCATTTTCCCATAGGTCTCCAGCATGAAATCCCAGTACTGTTCCTTCTGAGTAGAATCCAGGTTTCTCCACTGCTCCTAGAAAAAAACCACAGAAGTAACATTCCAATAAAACTGCTTAAACCTGCTTCCCAGAGCACAGAAAGCTGAGAGGAAGGAATTGGCCATAGACCCTGGTCAACAAGAGACCTAAGAACTCACAGGAACGTAGGGCAAGAAAAAAAGAGACCAAAGGGAAGGAAGACGACAGACTTCAGATCAGCATTTCTTGCCTAGTTTAGAAAACCCTTGGGGTGAAATTTCAGGGCTTATGCTGCATGTATTTAGGAATGAAAAATGCCACCATACACACTGACCTTGCTCTTGTCTCTTTCAAAAGTTGCAGTGAAGCTTTTGCGACTTTGAGGTCCTGCTATCCTCACTATTGGAAACCTAGCTATTTCAGAGAGAAAGGAAAGAAATAAAAAGGAAATTCTGGGAAGAGCAAGTGTAAAGGAGTGAAAGGTAGGAAAAGTCAACTGCAAAATCTGATTCTGAAAGAAAATCTAGTGGCTTCGAAAGCATCAGGTGTTGCAGCTGCATGCATCTGGACTCCCTCAATGGTTCACAGAAGGCCTAGCATGAAGTTGGTAAACTCTCAGTGCTCCTAAGCAAGGTATTCCCTTGTTACCCAAAGTAGCCTTTCTTCTTCTCTTCAACTGCAGGGTTAAAACCCAAAACTGGGAAGACCACACATCTCACATCCACCTACTTTTCAAACTCAGATTTCAGACTCCTCACGGGAAGCTGACAATAGCAACCCAGAGTGACTGGCACATACTCTGTGGAGTCACACACACTGAACCCAAGTCTCACTGGCCACTTTCCAGCTGTGTGACCTTGAACAAGTTACTTAGCCTTCTGGAGTCTCGGCCCTCACCTGCTATTAGCAGTGAACTCAAGAATTTGTTGGGAGGTTTGAAAGAAATACAAGTAACACTGTTCCAACAGGACACTGCCACTTTTCACCCTCAGCTCTAAAGCAAATCTGCCACCTGGTGTCAGGAATGTCTCCAGGAGCAACACCAAAAGACTTAAATTAGATGCTGAGCCGTAGATATATTTTGGTATTAAAAACATCAGAACACCCCATGTCCTCTTCTCCCCTCCTCTTCACCCCCTCTCTTTCTCGCAGCTCCTCTCCCAATCCCCTCAGAAGCTTCTGTCCTGTTCTCCTTCTCTGGGTTACCATGCATATCTCTCTTAGGGTCCTCCCTGTTTCCCAGCCTGGCACTCCCCTGTTTCATGTCTAAAATCCATATATGAGTGAGTACATACCATGCTTGTCTTTTTGTGACTGGGTTACCTCACTCAGGATGGTTTCTTCTAATGCCATCCATTTGCTGGCAAATTTCAAGATGAGGAAAAATAGAGGCGAGAAGGATGAGAGATACCGTAACAGAAGGAGCCATTACAGGTTTGAAGGGAGATCTGGCACTAGTGAGATGTCCAGAGGCCTACAAGGATAACACCAACAGGCAATCTAACCAACAGTGGAGAGGCTATCTTAAATGCCCTTCCCTGATAATGTGATTGACGACTTCCTTTTATGCCATCCTAGAGCCTTCATCCAGTGGCTGAAGGAAGCAGAGGCAGACACCCACAGCTAAACACTGAACTGAACTCCTGGAACCCAGCTGCAGAGAGGGAGGAGTGATGAGCAAAGGGGTTAAGACTTGGCAGGTGAAACCCACAGAAACAGCTGACCTGAACAAGGGGGAGCTCATAGACCCCAGACTGATGGCTGAGAGGCCAGCATGAGACTGATCCAGACCCCCTGAACGTGGTCAGTGAGGAGGCCTCAGCATTCTTTGGGGCCTCAGGCAATAGATCAGCATTTATCCCTGTCATCCAGATGGACTTTGGGAGCCCATTCCATGCGGAGGGATGCTGTCTCCACCTAGACACATGGGGGAGGGTCTAGGTCCTACCCCTGGTCATATGACAGACTTTCAATATCCCCCATGAAGGGCTTCACCCTCCTTGGGGAGTGAAGTGGGAATTGGGGGAGTCACTGGGGGAGGGTTGAAGGGGAGTAGAAGGGGGGGAGAAGGAGCTGTGATTGACATGTGAAGCAAACTTGTTTCTAATTTAAATTAAAATTTTAAAACATCAGTAAAAAATTTAAAAAACATCAGAATACTCAGCTCTCAATATACATACCTAACTATATTCCATATAAAAAATTAAATTTAAACTTATTATTTTGTTACTTTTCAATGAATGAAGCTCCTGTAAAAAGCCAGCCTGAGTAAATACTGCTGAATACAGGAGTCCTTGGAAAAGGATGCCATGCAAGCACCTGACAGAACGCCAGCTTTGCTGGACACTGACATTTCCCACAGCACTAAACAGCTGCTGCTAAGTGCAGTGTCAAGCAAAAGAGCACAAGCACCGGAAACTCCAACAGTCACCAGCAGCCAACAGACAGCCCAGAGCAGCGGGTCGGGCTTGCTCAACAGTGCGCCTCTGCCCGAAAGCCTCACACTCCAGAAATGCCAAGAAACTGAGGCTTGAATGTAACTCCCACTAGAGATGCAAGGTACCCGCAGCCATCACCTTTCCCTTTGAAAACCAAAAGGTCCTACTCTGGAGGACACAAGCCAAGAGCTGTGATGGGGGACTCATGTTCCTGTGTGGAAATAGCACCATCTTGTGGACGTATGAGCTCTGCCACCTTTGACTCAGTGAAAGCAGGAGTCCTACACATTCTGATAATGAAGTACTACATAGAGGTAATCACACCCCTTCAGTATCCTGAAGTGATTAGCAAAATCCCCAATTTACAGACAAGACTGGAGGTAGGGGTAATTTATATCTAAATTTCCCTTTATTTTCAAAGGATTCCATTAAATACAAAAGCTTTGCCAAGGCAGATAAGGGATGACTTGTTTGCTTTAGTGCTTGGTAGGTGGCTGGCAGTCAATACAGACACTGTAGTATATGTATAATTGCCAATCAGCTAATACAGGCACTGTGTGTGTCTATAATTGCCAATCTGCTAATATAAGCACTGTACTGTATATATAACTGCCTATCAGCTAATACAGGTACTGTGCATGTTTATAGTTGCCTATCAGCTAATACAGGCACTGTAGGTGTGTATAGTCTCCAGTTAGCTAAGACAGGTACTCTAAGTGTGTACAGTCATCAATCACCCAATATAATCACTGTGTACGTGCAACTACCAATAATGAACAGTGCTGGTGAACATTTTCAATATTTGGTTATTGTTTTATTTTGTGACTGGCCATACCACCATGACCAGCTTTGATCTTTCAAGTTATCCAAAACAGGTGGTAGTTGGTATCTGCACTGTTTTAATTATATTAACCAATTCTCCAGGACTGTCCCGATAGACTCCAGAAACAATAACCCTTTGATAAATTGATAGAGACAGTTTGGCACTATCATAAATTTAGACAGATAGACCAATGGCATAGAATAGAGGATTTGAACATAAGATGACAAAGCTACACACACAAAATTTTAGACTGTGGAGGCAAGAAGTTACATTGGGAAAAAAGCTGTTCAACAAATGGTGCTGGTGAAACCAGTTAATCTAAGAATGAAATTAGGTTCTTTCACCTTGTACAAAAATCAACTCAAAAATGGGCTGAAGACTTTAATATAAAACCTAACATGCTGAAACGTCCAGAAGAAAACATAGGGGTGGGCAAGACACTGGGGTGGACAAGAACTTTCTGAATAGAATACCAGCAGCACAGGAACCGGCGGTAACAAACAGGACCAAGTGTCAACAGATGGACCTCATGAAAATCAAATCCTGCACACCAAAGGAAGCCAGCAGCAGAACACACAGCCCACAGGATGGATGGAAGAAAAATACCCCGAACTTACAAAGAACTGCAGAAACTAAATACCAAGGAATGAAAATGCCGTTAAACAGAAAGAACTAACAGTTTTCCAATGAGCCTTAGCCCTGAGTAGCAGGCTTCTCTGCACTGTGCCACAATCCTCCCAATCTACACTTTCACATCTCTGGTTTCAGCTACTCACTGTCAACTGGAGACTGGGAGAATCAAATGGTACTTTTCAGAATGAATTCCTAGGGTTTAAATTGTACATTATTCTTTCATTTATAATTTGTCTGCTTGCTTGTTGTTTTTTAAGACAGTTTCTTTAGTAGAGGTCAGTCTGTCATGATCCTCACTAGAGCCTAAACTCTCCTACTTCATTCTTTAAAGTGCTAGAATTACAGGTGTGCCACCACACCCAGCAACTGTGCATCATTTTGAAAGGATGATTCAATCTTGAACAGGATGTAAGTCATCAGTTGAGCCAGCATATCCACTCTGCATATGCTACCCACCCACTTGCCACTTAGCAGCTGTCTGCTCAGATTCACTGTTGCAGTATCACAGTGCTTCTGTTCAACTGGCCCTTATTTTGCTTAACAGAGGCCTCTAAGCAGAAGTACAAAAGACGGTGAACATGCCAGACAGAAGCCATGAAGTACTTACTGTGTGGAAAATGAAAACATTCTCTACTCATTAAGAAAAAAAGCTATATACAGAGGTTGCTGAGATGTGTAGTGAGAAGGAATCTTCTCCCATAAGATGGTGACAAAGAAAAATTAGTGCTAGTAATGCTGTAAATTACATGTCTACACTGTGAAGATGTCTTTGCCAGGGAGCCCTCTGATTGGTTTAATAAAGAGCTGAATGGTCAACAGCTAGACAGGAAGAGGGTAGGTGGGGCTTCCTGGTGACCTCTTTCTCTTGGGTAGGCTTAGCATACAGAGATGCAGCTAGCTCTTTTAAGAGGCTCTGCAGTACAGTTGAGCACTTGAGCAGCCAGCACTGGGTACAAACACCTGCTGCAGGCAGACAACACAGTCCCAGGGGGGGCAGGTAAATGCTGCTCTGGGGCCCAGACCTGCCATCATGAGGCTAGACTCTCGGGGAACCAAGGGGAGCAGAGCCAGTCAAAGCACAGGGCCTAGTCACCTTCTACAGTTTAAGTGTTGGCTCACGTGATCAGAGAATAAATACTACAAATTCAGGAGGAAAAAAAGCCATGTCCAGGTCAAGAAAACCTCTGAACAGGTTTACAATGTGCTTAAATGCTAAAGAAAAAAATGGATATAGACAGTCATAAAAATAGTTTAAAAATAAAACAAAGTCTTTAAAGAAAGTGTAAAGTAATTTTTTTAAAAAGCCAGGTAAGCATGGTCTTATGTGGGAGCCTGAATCCTATAATGTTGCTTTGTCGACTGAATTTTTTAAGTATTGATGAGCAAACAGCAGCTGCTGAGAGACTCTGGATTGTGTAATGAAATGCTGAATTAAACCAGGCTATGTACTTTAGGGATGTCTTGGCTTCAGGATGGAAGTCAGGAAATGTGTTGCATTGGGGAGATTTTTGTTTCCACAGACAATGAAAAGCTACGGATTCCTTCAAAATGAATAAGAATCAGATTGTACTGGAGAAGACCTCCTGAGGATCTTGGCTGCTAAAGTAAAGGAGGAAGCTAGGAAAAACTACAGAACAGGTGACATGTATGCTGATTCTTTTACATAAGAACAGCTCTGAGACAGGATGAGACATGATGAATTTTGTTGGCTGCAGAGTCCTCATGACATGGCGGGCCAGTCCCGCAATGGATAACATGTCTGACTAAGGATCAGAGTCCTCATGACTTATTATTACATGCCATATTATTATATGGCATGGATAGAGGTTTGGTTATACACTACAAATGGACTTATAAAGTTCACATATGCCTTTTACCTGCTCAAACATAAAACAAAAACATCATCTTTAGCTGGCTTCTGCCCACCACACATGCCATACTTGTTAATATATATATGTATGTTACCTTTAAAAGTTTGCTAGCAGAAAAAAAGGACCAGATACCAATGCCTATGTTGCAGTTTCCTCAAAATTCTGCATCCAGAACAACTTCAAACTGCTAACTCAAATGGTCCAGCCTCATGTACTACTCCAGCCAGGACTTCAGATAAGCCCTGCACTTTCCCATTACACTAAGACTGAACAACAAATGTTACAGCTAGTTTTTCCTAGGACTTGATCATTATCTCAATTTTCTGAGGTTCCCCTAAAGATGCTGTCACCCCCAAACAACAGGAAGCAGTCTAGAGAACATTATACACACATTCCAAGGAAGTGGGGTTGGTGGTTTCTGGATGTAAGGTAGATGTTTGTCATTATTTTCGGAGGATCAGTTGCAAGTTGTTACTGGTTATGTAAAAAAAAAAAACCAACTAAATAAAGGAGGTTAAGCTCTCTTTCTGAAAAGAAAAGGGGGGGATATAGTATACTGATACAAATTTAAGGTTATTTTTGTTATATACACTGTACATTATGTTTCTACTCTTGTTTAAGGTAGTGTTGTACCTATGCAGCTCATTTAAAAATGTAAAGTTCTAGCCCTTGAAAGCTATTATTACATCAAAAATCATTATTACAAACTGCTTAGGATAACTAAGAAATACAGGTTAGTAGTTAGTTGTGGTAATATCTTTCTTGCACAAATAAAACCTGTCTGGGGATCAGAGAATGGAGCTTGCCACTAGCTACCCATAGAGGTCTGGAGTTCTGTACAGACAGACAGGAAGTGACATAGCTGGGAAGAAACAAACAGGATATAAGCAGGGACAAGCAGAAAATCTCTCTCTTCTCTGCTGAGACACTTAGGAGGTTAAGGTGTGTTGTGGCTTGCTCCTTCTCTCTGATCTCTCAACATTTCCCTCTATATCTGATTCTGGCCTTTTATAATCTAGACCAATTAAAACTCCTTTTACAGTTAGTCATCTAACAGTCAGATTTGTGGCTATGTTAGGTATGTTTTTAAGGTCAGAGATATGTTTTAGATAGATAGGTGGTATTCAAACTCTTCAGAGACCTACAGAATATGGCATTTAATGTTTTAGTAATAAGGCTTTTCATGACAGTGAGACATGTCTGCTCCTGGCAGCACCAATTTACTTAAAAAAACAAAAAAGGATGATGAGCACTGATGAACCTCCATATAGAGTTTGCTTTCACTGTAGCAGAGTTAGCCACTGAACAAGAAACTGCCCTTGCCTCGACTGCTAACAGTATGTTGTTCAATTAGCAGAAGCAGGACACAAAAGAAGTAGACTTCCAAACTTCAAAGTCACTTCTTTGAAATTCCTACTTCACAAAAAAGTCCGTCAGACATTCTAGGCCTGCCTGTAGTCAGAAGATGAATGCCCCCAATGTTCCAGGTGAATCTTGGGTGACTGTCCAGGCAGCCAGATGTCTCTGTTGTTTCTATATTTTTATAGTTTTGGAAGTTGCTTGCTTTGCAGTTCCTGTTTACTCAGGCAAAATTTTCTCTTTCCTGGGTCTCTGATGGGTTTGAAGACTTGGTAGTTATAACAATTTTCCTTGTTAACCAAATTAAAAAGGAAACTCACAAAGGAGGTTTAAAATGTATTAAGTTGAGAGACATAAAAGCTTAAATTGTTTATCTAAGAAAATGTCTTGAGGTCTAAAAAAGATAGTTGTGGTTTGGTAATAGAAGTTAGGACAGAAAGTAAAGGTACAAAAGTTTTGACTCCCCAAGATAAGATAGATAATGGAGTATTTTCTCTGAATTTGCCAAATGCAAATGGACTTTATAAATGTAATTTTTCCTGATACAATTATTCTTATTGTATATAGTTTTACAGTGTTAGAGTCAAACCCTTTCCTTTTTATTCAGACAAAAAGGGGAAAATGTTGTGGAATATTTGTATCTTTGTCAAGGTGCCTTCTGATTGGTTTAATAAAGAGCTGAATGGTCAATAAGCTAGGCAGGAAGAGGTTAGGTAGGACTTCTGGGGACAGAGAGGACTCCAGGAAGAAGAAAGGCAGGTTCGATAAGCCAGACACAGAAGAAACAGGAGATGAGAGGTGAAGGGAGGTAATGCCACATGGCGGAACACAGATTAATATAAATGGGTTAATTTAAGTTACAAGAGCTACTTGAGATAAGCCTAAGCTAAAGGCCAAGCTTTCAAATTAATAAGTCTCCATATTGTTGTTTGTGAGCTGACGGCCCAAAGAAAAGTCCGATTACAGAAGTTTTGTTGTCACACTGTGAACTGTGAAGTTACGGCCACAGTGGATGACAGTACTATCATCTACCTTACTCCACCTTGTCACAAAGACCTGTGCCATCTGACATGGGCACATAAAGGTTGAGTACAGCTTAACATGGTAAGACACAGTAACATAGGAAACCATACTCATGTTACTCTCATTACAGTATGCCATTATAATTACTCTGTTATTAGATGTTATTGTTAACTTCTCACCTTTCATAACTTACAGAGGGCTGATAGGATAAGAAAGCCCCACTATGTACAGGGTATGCAGTGTTATCCACAGTTTCTGATATCTACTAGGTCTATAAAATGAGACACACACACACACACACACACACACACACACACACACCCAAGTCTGGGCAAACTAGAACAAACTTTGTCCAAATAACTATATCCCCAAGCAAAGTCCAAGAACATATAGAAAGAAAACAAAGATACCCAGCAACTGCTTTAGATGTAGCTCAGCAGTAGATGTAACTGAGCATGAATGAAGACTTGAGTACCATCCCTGGAATGGACAATACAAAACCAGTGAGAAGACATTAAAAACAAACAAGCAAACAAAAAAACAGGAAATAATACATTATATGTAAGGAAAAGGAAGATAAATTATTTGGTAAAATTCGATTTTACATAAATTCTAGAAAATACAAACAAATGTGTGCTAACAGAAGGTAGTTAGCGGGTGTCTCAGAATGGCTGGGGTATAAAAAAAATGATGAGATAAGAATTCAAAAAATAAGACAGGGGCTGGACAAACAGCTCAGCAGTTAAGAGCACTGGTTACTCTTCCATGAGATCTGGGTTCAATTCTCAGCATCCACATAGTGGCTCACAACCATCTGTAACTAGAGTTCCTGCGGAGTCTGCCCGATTCTGGCCTCCATGAGGACTAGGCATGGACCTGGCACACACCAGGCAAAATATTCATATACTTACAATTTTTTTATTTTTCTTAAAGAAAAACTTAAAAGGCAACTTGAATATGATAGAAATATGTATTCTTGATTGTACTTGTATTTTAGAGCTGCATATGTACATCAAAACTTACCAAACTATGTATTTTGAGTATATGTCGTCTATCAACAATACTTCCATGATATCAGAAATGAAAAGATTCTCCTGTCACACATGAGAAATAACCATTCCAAGTTTCTAACAGATCCCTGTGTGGGTATCTCATACTAGGAAATGAAAAGCCCTTTCTTAGCACAGATTCAAAGTAATTTAAAAAAAAAAAAAGCAGAAACTACCATATTTGGGCAAAGACTTCCAAGAGGTTAGACTCATCAGTCAAAATGACTGACTAGAGACACAGGGACTCAACTTGGAGCATGGCTGCGTAACATTTGTAGTGTGTGTGGATTGAGTCTCATCCCTGTTCCTCTTCTGAGTCCGTGGCCCCATCAATCCTCCTGGGCCAGGAGAGGAAGGGCAGAGGACCCGGCTCACCTGATGTACTGCTGGGAGAAATGCTGTTCCCATGTCCTGGTCTCTGCTAGGCCTCTCCTCTGGTCTGGCAGGAAGCTGGGCAGCAGCCAGAGCTGTAGCAAAGAATAGAATTTCAGAATCAAGATGTCCCCCTTAACCACTCCCCAAAGGGCACCATAAATTCTTCATAAATTATAACAATTTGGGGTGTCAATCAAATTCAAAGGCTTGAATTTACCTCCTAACAACTACAACCCCCTCCAAACTTCCAAACAGTCTCACCCATGTTTCTCCCAGGTCCCTCCAAAGAACCAAAACCCAAATGGTGTGGCCTGAACACAGCATGGTTTAAAAATCAGACTTGGGTCATTTCCACACTTTCCGAACATTATATAGTTTCAGCCTACATTTAGTCCTCTAACCACAACCCCCAAATTTCTCCCAGAGAGCACACATAGCACGATGGAGAACTGCCCCTCACCTAACTCTGGTTCCATGTCTGACTCCTCTTTCACACCATGGCTCAGCAACTCCCCAGGAGCTGAGGGTGAATTCTGAAGGGGGAGGTCCTGAGGCACCACTTCCAGCCTGGGCTCCACCTCACCACCTTGGCAGTGTGTCGAGTTCATCTTCTCAGACGGGATCTCTTGTCCTAGAACTTGGATGCCAATCTGGACACCAAACACCATTAATTACCAAAGGATACAGAGTCAAGGTTGCTGAAAGCTAGTGGAATTGGTCTTCCACAGTAGACCATGAGACAAGTCTTACAACCAAAAGACCAGGAACTGAGGCCTGAACCAGGTCTGGGAAACCTGCAAATCATGCCACTAATATGTGTTCTCCTGGACAGTCTCCAATAATTAAAACTCAAGGCCGTTTTTTAGTAAATCAAAATTTCTTAGGTGGTGTGGGTGAAGGCTAAGTCACAAAACTACATAAGATATGAGGAGACCCAGATTTAATGTAAGCAGCACATACTGTGGTCTTTGTTTTCTGTTCTGAGGAGAGCTCCTTGAAGCCTTGTTGTTCCAGCACAGGAATTTTCCATTATGCATAATGCAGACTTTCACCCACCTCAGAGTCCATGCTGGGAAGCCAGCTCTTGGCAGCCCTTAAATAGCTTCAGGATGGGGCCTGCTGGTTGCCAGATGAGCACACCATGGGATTCCAGGCTTAAGAAATTCAGCTGATCCCAGCCCCAACTCTGGGGAAGGGAAAGAGACCAGCAACATCCAACCATTGATGGTAAATGAGGTAAGCAACTGTGCTAGATTAGTGAAACCCCAGAAAAAAATGTCTAAACAATGGGGTTTCTGGAGCTACCAGTTAGTGAACTCACAAAGGTTCTGAGGATGTGGCACCCCGGGAGAGGACTTTTTGCTCCTGAGTTTCACTCTACACAATAAACTGGTAACAGTAATGAAAGCACTTTACTGGTCCCGTAAATCACCAATCATCCGATCTGACAACCAGTTTGTTCGTGGTATTTGTGAGTGGCATCTCAAGTGCAAGAGCAGCTCTGTGGGACCAGGATCATCTGGACTGGTATAGACAGCAGTCAGAACTGGACTGACTTGCTAACGCTCGGTTTGTGTCAGAGAATCAAAGGACTGGTTACTGGTTTGGAATCTCTACATATATGTCATAATAACAACTATCAGAAAGAAGAAGAAAAAAGACAATGAACCAGAGAAGCCCCAGAGGAACCTGGGCTTAATTCACAGACAAGACACTATGCTTACCCACTGCCATAGTCTCCGAGGATCTCCCTTCAAGCTTTCCACAAGGGTCACTGCCTCTTCTCCACTACCTGGACACTGTTTCCTCACCCACATCTGGATCTCCCCGGGAAGGATGGTCAGAAACTGCTCCAGCATGAGGATCTCCAGGATCTGCTCTTTGGTGTGAACCTCTGGCCGTAGCCACTGGAAACAGAGCTTCCGAAGCTGTCTCAGCGTTTCCTGGGGCCCAGACATCACCTGGTAACGAAATTGCCTGAAAAGCTGGCGAGCAGTCTCAGCGTTGGTGAGCTCTCTTTCCTGGTTAGCATCTGATTCACAGAATGTGGCATCCTCAGCTTTGGCCTTGGCCAGAGAAGGCTGCAGGCCCAGGACCTGCCCTAAGTCAACAGGCATTATCTGGCTTCACAGGGTCTTTTAGGTGAAGGGCTTCCAGGATGGAACTGTCTCTGTAGAGAACTGCGTCTTCTAGCAATGCTGAAGAATGAGAGCCAAGGCTGTACAACAACAACACATGGTCAGGAACAACATATATGCACAACACCACCCCCTAAAGGCCTGCACCCCCTAAAGTAACTGTTCATTGTGTACACAATTCTATTTTGAGACATTGTAAACTTGAAGCCACAAAGCTAACTACACACTTATCATGTCCATATTCATATTATTCATTGATCTTCAAATGTCCAGAGACTCTATAGAAGAATGGAATGTACCAGACATGGTGGTACATCCCTATAATCTTAGCACTTAGGTGGTGGAGGCAAGAAGTTTAGGGCCAACTTGGGCTATATAATAAGTTCAAGGTATGCTTTGGCTATATAGCAAGACTATTTCAAAACGGGAAAATAAGAGGCTGAAATGATGGCTCAGAAGATAAAAGCATTTACTGTGCAAACCTAACAGCTTGAATTTTATCCGTAGAGCCCATAAAAGGAAAGAACCACTTCCAAAAGTTGTTCTCTGACCTCCATACATGCATCATAGTATATACATGAGTATCTGCACATACATGATATTTTAAATTTTTTAAAAGAAAAACATGCAAGAAATGCACAATTTTCACTGTTTCCAAGTAAATACATACTCCTGTATCTCTGTACCTATGTACCTGTAGACTAACATGTAATGCTTTTCGGGGCTGGCGATGCATCTCAGTAAGTAGGGTGCCTACCTAGCATGAGCAAAGTTCAATCCCCAGTATCTGTAAACTGTGACCCATGACTACAATACCAGCACTTAGGAGGTAGACACGAGAACATCAGTAGTTCAAGGTCCTCCTCAGTTACATTGAATTCAAGACCAACCTGGGATATATGAGACCCTGTCTCAAAATAAGTATAAGTCAATAAAGCTGGACAAGAGCTACCAGTACCCTAGGAATACAGAGTAATGCTGAAAGAATCACATGCTTCATAAGATACATAGGTCTCCTCCACCATGTGCTGTCTCAGCATCCACATTATCACAGGGTGAAAGCAACAGGGCCGAGAGACCATACACCAAAGCCTACAGCTGCAACTATAAACCAAAATAAACCTCTCCTTCTTATAACTTGTTTATCTCACATATTCTGTTACAAAAGCACAAAGCTAGCGAACACAGCATCAGGATTTAGCAGCAAATGAAGCAGTGAGAAGGGAACCATTAAATACCAAATCTTAAGGGTTTTCAAAGGATCATTTATTCTGTAGCATCTGACTTTACTACAGGTGCTCATAACAGTGGGTCATTGGACTAACCCTTAAAATGTCATGAAGGAGCGAACAGTCACCATTTCTCTGTATCACTAATGCAGCACATGTACACACCATATAAATATATACAATGACAACAAATAAAATTAAATGAAAAGACAAGAGGGAGGAAGACAGAAAGAAGGGGAAAAGGGAGGAGTCTGGGAAGGAGGGAGAAAAGGGGGAAAGGAAAGTACAACATTCAAAACCCAACTAGAGCCTATTTTTCCAAAGGTGCAAAACCAGGAGAGGAAAGAATAACTCAATGGTATACGTTTTTCATGTGAACCTCACTAAACTCATGGCTTTTCTTTTTTGGTTTTGTTGTTGTTATTTTAAAGAGCCTACAGATTTCATTTATACATTTAGGTAGTACTCTGTGGCACTAAAGCAAAAAATACATAATTGGGAAATTCCATTTCGGGCCCTGGCAAAATAGTGATAATACAAGCTAGTCAGACAGCTAAACGACTCCCAAGCTAGAGAAAGCATGTAAGACAAATAGTTTCAGGCACTCCACAGAGCAGGTGAGAATGCAGTCTTGAGAGATGCTGAAGTAGGGCCCAAGACCATATGGTTGGTTACCTGAGGACAACTTTGAAGTCACAGTGCAGGAAGCTCAAGTGGTGCATGATGGTCTTGAAAGCTGAGGCAACAAGAACAGAACTGAAAGCCACTCAAATCGCTGAATTCTGAAGAATGGGCAGGGAGGAACTTTGGGATGGGGGTAAGGACAGATGTCTGCATGGGGTGTCTACTTGGCCCTGGCATTGGCTTGAGACTCCTATAACCAAGACCAAAACCAAGGTTTAACGAACAGCAGAACACACAAAAGGCCAGTTAGGAATGAGGCACTGGAATTTTTAATCATGCAGGCTGAAAAGACACCCAAAGACAGGAGGAGGACCCTATGTTAAGAGTGACAAGCACAAACTCTCACCTGCCCTAACAAAATCTAAAAGTAAGTTGCTATCAGATCCACAGGTAGTAGTTTCATTTCATCAACTGGAGAAGCACCCTGCTCCTTCCAAAGATCTGCTCCATCAAAGCATAACATAAAGCCTAGTATAAGTACATTGCCGGCACCAACAAACAGCAACATACCTCAAGAAGATAACTGGTGCTCAGAATCGATAATACACACTCTGAAAGAGTCAAAATATGATCCAAGATTACTAGATATACAAATAAATAAGAAAGTATGACTCAAAGAAGGAAAAAGAAGTAGTTGACAAAAACCAACTTTAAGATAGTCAGAGGGCTTAAGGAAAAATTACTGAAATATGAAACAGAATCAGGACTCTCCACAAAGAAATGAAAACTATAAAAGCAATAAAGTTAATTCCAGAGAAAAAAATAGATCCCAAAATTCTAAGTACAACATAAACATCCTTCAAAAATTAGAAATAAGTCAGGCAATAGTGGCACACGACTTTAATCCCAGCACTCAGGAGGCAGAAGCAGGTGGATCTCTGCAGTCTGGTCTACAAGAGCTAGTTCAAGGACACAAGACTTCTGGTGTCCCCACACTAGACAGCCTCCAAAGCCACAGAGAAACCCTGTCTTGAAAACCCCAAAAAAAAAAAAAAAAAAAAAAAACATGAACACACACACGCACACACAGACTCACGAACAGATTTCTCAAAAGAACCAGGAAAATCTGTCACCAGTAAATAGATACTGCACGAATAAAACACATTCATTCCTCCAACTGACAGAAAACCCAGATCTTCAGAAGCAAAAAGAGTCAATGTTTGGTGAATGCAATTACTGTAGTTGTTTATTCTGATAACTTCCTTAAAAGGCAGATGAGGGTTGGTAAGATGGCTCAGCAGCTAAAGACACTTGCTACGAAGCATGACTACCAGAGTTCGCTCTCTGGTACCCAAACAGTGGAAGGAGAGAACTGAATTCCACAAATTGTCCTCTGACTGCCACACATACACTGTGACCTGTATACATTCACATACATAGACAATAATGTAATTTTAAAATTAACAAATAGTATGAGATATTAAAACTGCATGGGGAGAACACATTTAATGAATTTGTTATGCTAATATATTTTCTACTTGCCAAGCCAAAAAAGAAAACAGGATGCAATTGCTGGGGGTGTCCAGTGGGAAATGAGAAGTATTAAGTTAGAGGTAAGAAATGGCAGATCTGGGCCGGGCGGTGGTGGCGCACGCCTTTAATCCCAGCACTCGGGAGGCAGAGGCAGGCGGATCTCTGTGAGTTCGAGGCCGGGCTGGACCGACAGCCTCCAAAACAATACAGAGAAATCCTGTCTCGTAAAAACCAAAAAAATAAATAAATAAATAATAAAAAATGGCAGATCTAAAATGGGAAGTGTAAACTGATACAACAATAAAGGAGACTTTGACATATTAAACTCTACTTAAAGTTTAAGGATGCATAGAGTTAGCTTGGCTGCATTTCCAGAGGACCCAGGTTTGGCACCCACCATCCACAAAGTGACCCATAACCATCGTAACTCCAATTTGAAGGGATCCAATGCCCTATTCTAGACTCCTCTACCGATATCAGATACACAAAGCACTGCAGACATGTATGTAAGCAAAAAACTCATACACATAAAAATAAGTAATCTATTTATTTAAAAAAGAAATGTCTTAGGAGAAATAACCAGAAAATTTTAATGGAAAACAAGACAATGCAGTAGACTAAAACCCAACTGTATCAAAAACTACATTAAGTGTAAATGTAATAAACACTCAAACTACAAAAGAGAGCTTTCAGATTTAAAAAAGCAAGACTCAGCTATGTGCTATCTGAAACAGACATTTTAAATGTAAAGACAATAGCCTAATAAGTAGCTAAGTGGTTAAAACACCTTACTAGCCTGTGTGAGTCCCTGGGCTCCATCCCCAGCACCACAAATATTTAAATATTAACTAGTTGGGTAGAAAAGTTTAAAAATAAAAATTAAGGAAAACTATATTCTGTATGAATATATTTCAACTGCATTGTAGTTGAAGAATACATACTTGAAGTTTCCAGTTCTATAAAACTTGTGCCTACTGTTTGTTTTAATGTTTCTTTCTTTCTTTTCTTTTTTTTTTTTTTTTTTTTGGTTTTTATGAGACAGGGTTTCTCTGTATTGTTTTGGAGGCTATCAGTCCAGCCCGGCCTCGAAATCACAGAGATCCACCTGCCTCTGCCTCCTGAGTGCTGGGATTAGAGGCGTGCGCCACCACCGCCCAGCTTGATTACTGTTTCTTATATATTAGGATATATTGTAGCTGCTGTGTCTAATTTTGATTGCTGCTACAAGGAACTGGCATAGTGAACATAAGAAATTCTATATGGCTACATTAGTATCTGGTCAAGCTGACTGGAGGACCCTCTTAGGGTTTCTACTGCTGTGATGAAACACTGTAACCAAAGGTAACTTGGAGAAGAAAGGGTTCCACCCATACTTTCCACCTAATAGTTCATCATTGAAAGTAAGTTAGGGCAAGAACCCAAACAAGGAAGAAACCTGGAGGCAGAAGTTGATGCCGAGGAGGGGAACACTGCTTATTCCTCCCGGCTTCCTCAGCCTGCTTTCTATAAAACCCAGTACCACTAGGCTAGGGGTGGCACCATCCACAATGGACTGGGCCCTCCCTCATCACTAATTTAAGAAAATGCCATCCAGGCTTGTCTACAGCCCTATCTTAATGGAAGCAATTTCTCGATTGAGGTCCCCTCCTCTCAGTGGACTATAGTTTGTGCCAACTTGAAATAAAACTACCCAGAACAACAACAAAGGTCATTTCATTTTGAGAAATGCGTTGATTCATCAATAATAGTGTGGCTACAATAGTATTGACAAAGAAAAAGGGAAAATAGAAGGCATGTCATTAGAACAGATGGGTAAGATCATCTCCAACATGTAATACATCTAGTATCAAATTTTTTGTTGCTGTTCTGGCGGGTTTTCTTTTTTTAAGGGGGTGTGTGTTGTGTATTTGGGGTTGTTGTTTTGACAGAGCTGTCTCTATAGCCCAGGCTAGCCTGGAACTCGGGGTAATCTTACTGCATGCATCAGGCTGTTATTACAGGAGTGAGGTGCTCTGCTTGACTTCTAGTATCAAAGCTGGCCCTCACACCTGTGGTACGCTTATTTCAAGTGCATAAGAAACACCAGGGAAAACAAAGCATGGATACACATTTCAAACAACTACAAACTTAAGGTCTACGTATTCTGCAATAACAGTGTCCAAGTTAGGGTTGTGATTATTATGCTGAAACACCCTGGCCAAAAGCAAGTTGGATAGGAAAGAGTTTATTTGGTTTACACTTTCACATCACATAGTCCATCACTGAAGGAAGTCAGGACAGGAACTCAGGGAGGGCTGGAACTGAAAGGCAGGAGCTGATGCACAGATCATAGAGGGGTGCTACTTACTCATTTGCTCATTATGGCTGACTTTAATACAGTTCCTCATGTTGTGGTGGAACCCTCCCCAGCCATAAAATTATTTTTGCTGCTATTTCATAGCTGTAATTTTGCTACTGTTATAAATCATAATATAAATATCTGATATGCAAGATATCCAATATGCGACCCCTGTGAAATGATCGTTTGACTACAGGTTAAGAACCACCGGTTTAGTCGTTCTGGTCTCTTGTTAACCACAGCTGATTCTTCAGCCCCAGCTAATCAGAATCACAGATTAACTAAAAATATGCAACGGCCTTGATAGTCTTTAAATGACTCAACTTCACAAGCTAGGCCTCTATCACCTGCATTTCTCAATTCTCTCATCTTCCAAGCTCCCACAGAACAACTCACCAAGGTTTGAATACTCCATGGCTTTTCTAGCCCAAAGTTCCAAAGTCTTTCCATAATCCTCCCAAAACAATATGGTCATGTCTGTCACAGCAATACCCAGTTATGCTGCTACCAATTTCTATCCCAGTTAGGTTTACTATTGCTATGAAGAAACACCATGACCAAAAGAAAAGTTGGGGAGGGAAGGGCTCATTTGGCATACACTTCCACATCATACAGTCCATCACTGAAGGCCGTCAGAACAGGAACTCAAACAGGGCAGGAACCTGGAGGCAGGAGCTGATGCAGAGGCCATGGGGTCTTCTGGCTTGTTCCCCCCCCCTGGCTTACTCAGTCTGCTTTCTTATAGAACCCATGACTGGGGGAAAAGGGCCAGCCAAAGAAACACTCTGGCCCTGAAACCAGAGCCAAAGAAAACACACCCTGAGCCTGAAACCAGAGCCAAAGAGACATACTTTGGCCCCGAAACCAGAGCCAGTGAAAGAACACACTCTGACCCTGAAACCAGAGCCAAAAGGTTAAAGGGGACCAAAAAAAATGCATTCTTCCCCTGGCCAACTCAGTACAAAACTTAACCAATCTCTGAGCTTATCCAAGCTCAGGTGTTGAAATCTGACCAATTCCCACCCTGAAAATCTCCACCCTAGAAAAACTCTGTTCCTAGGAAGCCCTATATAAACCCCTGTGCTTGTTCAGTTTCCCATAGTAGAAAAGGCAGAGGCAGTCACCCTACTGGATTCTTCCCTCCCAATAAATGTCTTAAAAGAGTTTTGGGTGAGACCTTCTTTCCCAGGAACAGAGCAGAGCAGAAATGTAACAACTGCTCTGGGGAAACCCTCCACTGCCTGAGCAGGGCAGAGTTGTTACACTGGGGAAACCTTTCCCTGGAGCAGGGCTATGAGCTGCTATGCTGAAGATGACTTTGTGGTACTCTTTGGCTCCCGACTGCCAGGATCCCTTTCCATCCCAGTCCCTTTCTAATCGAGCTGCAATGCTTACAAAGACCAAGCACCCAGGGATGTGACCACCCACAATGGGCTGTGCCTCCCCATCAATCACTAAGCAAATGCCCTTATGGATCTTATGGAGACATTTTCTCAGCTGAGGCTCCCTCCTTTCAGATGACTCAAGCTTGTGTCAAAGTGACATAAAACCAACCAGAACACACAGTACAATTAAATTAGAAATTAACACCAATAAGGGAACTCGAAACTCTAATTTGTAGAAATTAATAATCAGTAGTCAAGACATCACAATGGAAATTAAAATATATTCTCACACAAAATGATCATGAAATCACAGTATACCAAGCTTTCTGAGCTTGGTATAGTGGTTCTCAACCTATGGTTCACCACCCCTTTGTGGGGGTCGAGCAATCTTTTCACATAGGTTTCTTAGACCATGAAACACATTTACATTATGACTCGTAACAGTAGCAAAATTATAATTATGAAGTAGTTTGGGGTCATCACAACATGAGGAATTGTATTAAAGGGTCACGAAGCATTAGGAAGGTTGAGAACCACTGGTTTAGGTAGAAAACCAATGGTTTAGGGAAAACTTGCAAGAAGCCTCTGTTTTAGAAATGAATATGTATACAAAAATCCTTCACTGTCTAAATGAACTTATTTAGTAAGCTTCACAACAATAACAGAATTTCAATCGGCAAAACTTCCACTTATAACCTTAGTCACACTTAGTTCCTGAAACTAATTTGGAGAATATTCAGAAAACGTTAACACTGAATCTTACATATTTAAATCTTATGCTAATACTACTTGCTCAGTGCAGCAAATAAAGGCCAACTGCTAGCTACCCCTGGCATTTATGACAAGATGTCCATTTACTCAAAGTTAAGTTATTTTATAGAGGGACTTAGGGGGTTGTACCCTGATGAGGATTTAACTTCTCACAGAAGGAACACACGATCATCAGTTACATTTCTATTGCTGACGCTTTAACAAATCGAAATGAAATGTGCATCTAGGTCAGCATTCTTCTATACACAGGTTAAGTTACACACCCGTAGGGAGCCCTTTGTTTATCAACTGTGAGCTCTGCTCGTGCTGTAGCTGACCTTCCGGACCGCCCCGTAAGGTAAGTAATAAAAGTTTACAGATCAGGTTCCTCCACGGCTCCCAAGCAGCAGCGGTTTAAGCCCAGGAATCGCTAGAGCAGACTTCTGGGGATCTGCCGGGGTGCATCAGGGTTGTCACTGAGGGCGGGGTAACTAGCGGCAGGCCTTCCAGCCTGCAAACTGAGCCCCGGTTCTCACCGTCCGAACCCCTCTCCTGGGGCCGACAACCCGGAAGAGCACTTTCCGTTCCGTCCCAGTCCCCTCCCCCGCACGCGCCTGCTGCCAGCGAACGCTATGGGATGGGGGCTGAGACCGCTTCCCCACCGCAGCTAGCTCCTGACAGTTAGTGAGCTGGAGCGACAGCAATCTCGACCCCAGGAATCGGGGACCCCGCCCGCCGTCCTAACTCCTGCGCTTACCTCGGCCAGAGGCACCCGTTCTGGCGCACTTCCGGAAGCCGGACAGCTGCGCACCGCCGAGGCTCTGGTGACGCGCGGCGCTTGGGCGGAGTAAGGGGCAGGGCGTGTGGGTAGCAACCTGAGGCCGGCTTTCCCATTGGTTCCCGAGAAGCGTCAGAGGTCACGGCCCGGGGCCTGTGCCTCTCCGAGCTAAGGCCACCGGGGAGCGGGTGCTTCTCATCACTACTATTCCCATCCAGGCCTCCCTTATAACCCGCAACAGTGGCCACAGCCTCTCTCCCATTTTCTGACTATCCTGCGCTGAGCCACAGCTGTCACCTCGTGACACTAAAGCGGGTTGACTGAGCCTCAAGTCTAGATCCGGGAGTCTGGCATTGAGTAACTGACATACTGGACAGCAACCGTCTATAGAGAGCTGTGTCTTCTCCCTGTCCGGTGGTGGTTAGGATTGACATCTCCAAAGAAGCACCGCGGAGGCGCGAGGGGACCATGGTGTGCTCACACGCCTGAAAAACTGAGCAGTGGGAAAGGGACCCAGCGTGTTCTCAACGTCCTTGGCTCAGAAAGCATCGTAGTTGGTGAGAAAGCATTTCACCGTGCTGCTTAAAGCAATCATTAACTCAAACGTTAAGAGACATAAGCGGTTGACAGGTTACCAGGCTGGCCGAGGAGGAATTGTCTATCACAGTTCCTGGGGAGACCCGGACTGACTGATCAGACATTTAGGGGGAGACCCACCCTGCGGGGTTTTTTTGTTTTGTTTTGTTTTGTTTTTTTGTTTTTGTTTTTTTTTTATTCCGAGGAACCCTGTTTCCAAGATCAGGTGGTTTGATCGGGATCTTGACAAGGTTCCTGTTAAACGCGTTGGGCTTTAGTTGAACAGCATTCACAGAGTAACTCAAAGCTTTGAATTGCTCAATATACCTATGAAAGATCAGATGTGAGCTGAGGCTTTTCCCACGGGAAACGTTTTGTTCTGAAATTCAGGGAGCGAACAGAGGCAACCTTGAAGTCCACAAACCTCAAGTTGACAGTTCTAATAGGGATGTCCTTTTGGCAATTTAGGTTTTTTTTTTTCAAATTAAGCTGGCAATAGAGAAGAGGCATGGCACATTTTGAACAGACTGCGCAAGCAAAACACGTTTTAAGAATAGAAAAACCGCTAACTTAGCTGAGGAAATAATAGAAAAGTACCATCTATTTTCATTTACTCAATAAATACTTACCACCTGCCCCGTTTGTGCCCAATATTATTTCATTAGTAGGGAAAAGCAGTGAACTACACATGCAATGCTCTGGCATTTACAAGACTGTTTTGTGATGAAAGTTGAACAAATAAATGCACGGCTAATAAGAATGTTGGGTGATGGTAAGTGAAGAAAATGAGCTGGACTGCAGTTTATGTAAGATGATTAGGGAAGGACTAACAGATAAGACAACCTTAAATTCAGATCCGAAGTTAAGAAGCAAGTCTTGTGTTCAGGGGAAGTTTTTCAAGCATAGGAAATAACAAATGTCTAAGCCTGGAGACAGTGATTGGAAATAACGGGGTGTGAGGTCTGAGACCTGGACCACATCAACAAATAGTCCCTACTAATGAGCATTTTCCGAGGAAGAAGGGGAGTGTAACTAGGTGATAGAGTGCATTTCTAGCATGCAGGAAATCTGGCTTCCCTGGGACTGAATATAATGGACTGAGTTGACTTCTGTATTGAGCAGGCTTGGGAGACATTATGATGAAAGGGAAGACCCTCCTCATGGAACAGGTGAGTTCAAGGCCGTCCTGGGCTACATGGGATCCTGTCTCAAAAACAAAACACTATTTTTGCTTATTCTAAACCTGAGACAAACAAGTTGACATTTATTGAGTTCAATAGATTTGTGGATTGTATTACATGATTTTAACGAAACTCTAGCAAGATGCACATCTCATTTCAAAAGTTCCCTGTATAGTGATGTCAGTTTAAAGATGTGAGCTATAATTCATGTAAACATGGAAAAACTACATTTTTTTTTGGTTTTTCGAGACAGGACAGGGTTTCTTTGTAGCTTTGGAAGCTGTCCTGGAACTTACTCTGTAGACCAGACTGGCCTTGAACTCACAGAAATCTACCTGTCTCTGCATCCCAAGTGCTGGAACTAAAGGTGTGCACCAGCACTACCTGGTATGAAAAACTACATTTCTATTTTGTTGTTGTAACCAAGGTAGTCTTGAACTCACTTCTGACCATCCCATCTCTACTTCCAAGTGCTAGAATTATAGGCATGTACTACAACACTTAGGTTTGGGCAGAACTAAAGCCAGAAGGCAGAATAAGAATAAATATGAATAAATTATAAATAAATTAAATAAGCAAGTATATTTATTTATGCATTCTGGGTACCTGTGCCAAGGTATTTGTGTGTGGAGGTCAAAAGGCAACTTTAGGGAGTCAATTCCCTCCTCATCATGTAAGTTCCAGGATCAAACTCAGGCATCATTACCCACTGAGTCATCTTGCCAGCTTGGAACCTAGGATTTAGTACATACTTAGTCAAGCACTCTACCAACAGAGCTATATCCCCAGACCCTGAAGTACATTCATAATCAAGTCCTTTACACATATAGTAGAATCAATAGCAATTCTAACTGAATGAGATATGACCAAGAAGCCAGCAAAATACATATGTGATACCTCTGTGTGTATATATATATTATATATACAGATTATATAGTTGTTTCAAATACAAATCATCTATGTAAACTATATGTAAAGATTATATTGTGCATATGTGGTGTGTGTGTATAGTTCTAGAACATGAAAAACTAAACAGTTTGCAGTCACTTAGTATTCTATCAAGTACTTCATGAAATGTTATTAAACCTAGTGGAAAATGTTTGGCAGCCTCTATTTGGTACCTAATAGGCAAGAATCAACATGTAAATATTCCACATGAAACATTTTAGTGCTTTTCATTGTGAGACTATTGATTAAAATTATTAAAAATGAAAACTACATGATGATTAGCTTGCAAGAGCTCCTGACTCACATGAAAGACCATAGAAATTAATAGCCACCAATGATATTAAAAATAAATATATAGTCAATAATGTAATTTATTCATTTGGAGTTTTTGTGAGGTGTGTTTTGGCTTTTTACTTTGACAATGGTTAAAACTATCAAAAATAAACTAAACTTAGGAGACTGTATCTCTGTATCCCAGAATATTAAGACATTATTTGCTCAAATTCAGTGTCTATTATATTTTAATGAGAACTTTATTTAATAAGTAACATGTATTTTAAAATATTCTTTTTCATTTTTACCTCTTCTCCCAACCTTTTTTTTTGCATGTCTCATTGTATATATTATCAAAGGAGGCAAGATAATTACTAGTTTAGCTTCAAAATATTTTAACTGATTGTAAGTACTTGAATGAAAAGTAGAGTCACATTCTAATTCCATTCTGGCCATGCAGCATACAGTAGGAGCAGTTTAAACATGTTATTTATGCTGATCTCCAAATTGGAGTCTCTCAGATGCAGAACCTGCAATTGGATCTTTTAAACAAACATCTTAATGGAGTTCTATGGTACCTGATCTGGGGAACAATACCACAATTCATGATTTGAGATGGCTCTGGTCAAGAACATGTACTGCCCTTGCAGAATACCAGAGTTCATATCCTAGCACCAATGTTTTCGGGGTCCCAAGGGTCTGTAACTCCATCTTCAAGGGATTCTGATACTCCTGTGCTCTGAGGGCACCCTCAAATGCATGCACAAACACAAACACATGCACATGTACACACACACATACACATTAAAACTATTATCTTAATCTTCAAAAGACAGATACTATTTGTAGTGTTAGTAAGTTTTCAGTTAATGTAATAAACCCCCAAGGCAATCAACTTACAAAAGAAAGAAATATTTGGTTTATTGTTGGGGGGAAGTCCTGTGCATTTGTCAATAAAGCACTGCTGGCCAATAGGAATCTAGATAGGTGGGATTAGGAGTCCATGGGGTAGGAAGCCCGGAAACTTCTCCAGTAAGAGACATACTTAGATTAACAATTATTAACTGGGCGGTGGTGGCACACGCCTTTAATCCCAGCACTCGGGAGGCAGAGGCAGGCGGATCTCTGTGAGTTCGAGGCCAGGCTGGACCGACAGCCTCCAAAACAATACAGAGAAACCCTGTCTTGTAAAAACAAAAAACAAAAACAAAAAACAAACAAAAAAAAACAATTATGGGGTAATTACTTAAGTCAGAGCTAGCCAGTAAGAAACAAGCAAGGCCAACAGCTTCATAATGAATATAGCCTCCTGTGTGTTTATTTGGGACTGATGCGGCTCTAGAGCCAGGCTGGCAGGAAGGCTTTTCTCAAAGGAAAAAGCTCCCCTTTACAGTTTATAGTTTGATTGGCTTTAGTCCATCATGGTTTCCATTTGTAGCTTTGGAGTCTGTGGCAAGGTAGCACATCATGACAGAACTGTGGAGAATAAAACCACTACTTATACAGGGAAACAAAAGAAAGGTGTGGTCCCACTATTCTGCTCAAAATCATTCCCCCTGGGGAGCTGGATACATGGCTTAGTGGTTAAGAGAACTCACTGCTCTTCCAGAGGACCAATGCTTAATTCCCAACAACCTTGTGGTGGCTCACAAAGATAGGTAACTCAAATTCTGGAGGATCCACTGCCTTTTTCTGACCCCTGAGGGCACCTAGTACATAGACATACATACATGCCGACAAAAAAAAAACTCA